AATTTGTACGCATTTTTATGGACGGTAATGTGTTTCAGATCATCGACGCGGTTGGGGAAATATGCATAATAAAGGCTGATAATGCACGACAGGCACAGTAGTGTTTGATTTTTTTTTTTTGTGTCATTGAATCGTTTATATAAATGCTGGCAAAACTCTGTCGCTATGCGAAGCCCATGCAAAGACGCGACAGACTAAAATTTCATTTAACAGTTTATTTTTTGAGTAACTGCAGTAACTTATGTGTTGTCGAAATTGGTTGATGATGAAATTGCCATGCTTAGTTGATCTGTGGATTGTTAGTTAGTGCACAAGATATTCGCCTCGCAAGGGTATTTAATTGTCTTTTTGCATTGGTCGAGAAAACGTATCATGGTAGAGCCGTGTTTTTGCATGTACTTGTCCTTCGTTATAACTTAATTCTAAAACAGAAAGCTTGGAGGCTGAAATTTTCAGAGCATACTTCGGGTCAGCGCATGAACCAGAAAAAAAAAACAGAATCACTTTATATACCTTTTTGTTATGGACTACATACATATAGGATTTTAACGCTTTTAAACGGCAATGAAGTAAATTTAATGTGAAAAGAGTCGAAGATAAGGTTTAGTGAAAGTTGATCCGTAATTGCACACTGATGCTTCGCATAATTTTTAAAGTATGCATACTAAATGAGACTGTTTTTACTTTTAGCATGTGTTAACTGGGTAGGGTTTTTTGGATTTTAAACCTAATACTGCTTTAAAAAAAAAAAAAAAAAAAGAAAAAAAAAACAAAAAAATAACAAAAAAAGCAAAGACGAAATAAAGTGATAATTAGAAAATCAACATAATTTTTAAATCATGCTAGAATCTTCCAACGAATATTTCGTCCGCAGTATATGCTGCTCATATAAGGGGTAGCTGTGGACATAGAAAAATGATAAAATCGGGGATAAAGGATAAATCATGTGCAAGAAGACATATTCGGATGCAGTCTGTGTTTCATCCCTTAGCTGTGTCAAACAAATAAATTTTTTTTTTTATGAGTGAATTATTTGCCTTTTGTTTTTATAGTTCCAAAAAACGTTTCGAATGTCCGTTCGTAGCTTGAACTGTGTTTATAGCAGATGCAAGGCAATGCAGTCGCAGTAATGCATCAAAACCAGCGGGTCACTATGCCCTTTGTTTTGGGTTTGGCTGGATTTACTTCACATACCAGTAAGACGATCGTGCGGACGAGCTTCACTACCCAGGGCAATGGTCAGAGGTAGCTGAGCCGAGGTTTGCTCCTGGGGATAAGTGGTGATTTGTGGATGGGAAGGATGGAATCATCGGCTCCTGGGCTGATGGATAAGGTAGCACTGTAGTTTTATCAGTTTTATGCTT